TAAAAGATAGTTGGCTAGAATTTTCGTGGACACTCCTGAGTCATTAATATTTTTATGCGGTTTTCTACAGCACTAGAATGCGTTCAGTAAGAGCTTGTTCCGCGAATTCGCTGAGCTCGATCTTCCCAAGGACGCAAAGGGTGCTTCATCCCAAAGCGCGTTGAGTAGAGTCCACTCTAAGGGTGCTGAGTGTGGTCTTTGGTGGGCATTGCGTGCTTGAGGCGCGCCCGAGCTCATCTGAGGTGCTAATAGGCCGATGGTTTATTCAAGGCGATCGGCCCGATTGTGTGTCTGGATGGGTGGTACATGCGCTGGGATACGTGTGTGCTGTGTATGTATAGCAGGGGGAAGGGGGGAGAGGGGAGGGGCGGGGAGAGAGGGGAAGGAGAGGGAATTCTTATTCAGCAAGGATACACACATATCACGCGCGCGCACGCGCACGCGCACGCGCACGCGCACACGCACACGCACACGCACACGCACACGCACACGCACACGCACACGCACACGCACACGCACACACACACACACACACACACACACACACACACACACACACACACACACACACACACACACACACACACACAAAACACACACACACACACACACACACACACACACACACACACACACACACACACACACACACACACACACACTAATATATAAACATGAATGTTAGATTTAAAGATATTATAAGGATGAATAGCTATGGTATTCTTATTGTTATTATTATTTTTTAATTGTTTTTATTTTTTATGATTCAGTAGATGATTAATTAAATATTTATTTTTTATTATTATTTATGCCTGTGTACGAATACATTTGTAAATATCAATGTGTGAATGAGCATGTGTCTGTATGTGAATGGTGTCTTATTTTTATGCACTACTTTTATGTCTATTACTGCCCGCGCGACTGGCTTGAGTTTATGGATATTTTGTGAGAATTTTAAAGGCCGTAATGCTAGCCTGTTTTGACGCACTGTCGTCTCCTCTTCCAAGTTCGCCACTCAGCGTGTAAACCGTAAATGTCGACTCTTTTTAAATCCGCAGTGGCGTGTGTTTCGGATGTGAGAGTCGAAACTGGCGGTGCACAACTCATGATGCCGGATTATCCAAATTTGTCTGCTAGACGGAAAACCACCAGACAATTGTGACGTAGACGGTAAACAGTGACGTCACGTTTCCGCAGTTACTGTAACTTGCGGATATCTGTATTTTGGACTGTGGGGGGATGGCAGGATGGGAAATATGGTTAAGGCATTCTATTTTCATTTCCTAATTGCCTATATTTATATTAAAAAAGATAATCAGGAAACGGTACACAAGCAAGGAATGGAATGTCCATCAAAATTGTGTTGGAAAGTTGACTCACATGTTTTATTTACATTTCTGCTATCATTATATATCAAAATTCAGACGTTGGCTCGGATTTCGTAATTTCCACTTATATAAAAAAAAAATATGAAAAAAAAATCACTGGCCCAGAAAAGTATCTGTCTGATATTAACCCAAAGAAAATATTATTGGACAGGATCGTCTCTCATTATCTAGCTACGTTTTGGCTCCTTTGAGTGTTTTTTTTAAATGAATCGCAGGTAAGCAAAATTGTAAGAAAGGAAGGAATGATGGAAGGGGAAAAGAAAGTAGTGAAGATTAGAGGAAAGAACCAACTTCAGTCCCTCTGCGTGTCTCCGGCAAAGCATGCAAGGGCCAAGCAGGAGAAAGGATGAAAAAGGAATTAAAAGAGCTTACAGGCGACGTTAGACATGAAGGCAAGAAGGAGAGACGAAGAGGGAGAATAAAGAGAAGGAAGAGGTAGAGGGAAAAGAAAGGATAGAGCGGAAATGGGGAATGAAACGAGCGTGGGATTGGGAATGGGAGTTTCACAAGAACTAGAGGAAGGGAGGTGGAAGTGAGAGAGTGGGAATGGGAGAGGGCGATAAGGAGTGTGGGATTGAGGGTGAGAGTTGAGGAAGAAAGGAAGGTAAAGAGAAATGACGAAGACATTGGCAGAGATAGAGAGAGAGAGAGAAAGAAAGAAAGTTAGAAAGGGAGAAGAAGGAGCATAAGAAGGAAGGAAAGCGAGAAGTTGAAAGGAGGAGAGAGGAAAAGAGGAAACTCACGAATTATAAGCCGAGGCGCCTAATCCCCCCCCCCCCCCCGTCGCCAATACTCCCCCAGGGCGGCCGGAATAGTCTGAATATCTCATGCAGGGAAGCAATATCATACGCGCTTCCGTCCCCCGTCGGGCCGGCGCCAGTGCCACAAACAAAGAGCGCCGCGGGAAACTTGAGTGTCAACA